CCATGTGGCTAATTAAGTTAGAACTTATATAGTCACAGAGTAAATTGCAAGTATAGTAGCCTGTTTTGTCACTCTCATGAAAACCATATAAAAATTTCTTAATTAAACTTTCCCTGAGATTTCCGACTTCTGATGCTAAAGCTGCTTTTACAAATGTTTCTTCAAAGCTTTATAATATACTAAATATATGAGATGTTTGAGAGACATATTGTCACTGTGCCTCCATCATTTTGTTTAAGGACTAGGAAACTAGATGCAAACTCTTCTGTACACTAAGGAAACTGCTCAGTGTGCAGAGGTTTGAGTCACATGATTCCCATTAATTTTAATGGGAGTTACATGGAAAAATCTGTGCGCTGAAATTCATGGGAAGTTAATGTCAATAGAATTTACTCTTCCTGACTTTGCTCTCTGAATTTTTGTGTTTGGATACCTATACTTCTGTAAAGATTCTGGAGGAAGAAGAGGATGCAGCAGTATAAAGTGATTAAACCGAAAGCATTCAGAGTTTAAGTGGTATGTGTTCCAAGGTAGGAAATAAGTAATAAATATCAAATGGGACCAAATCTACTTTTGATATTATAGTCTCTTAAAAATCTCCTTTGAAAGCATAATTGTATTTATCATAGTGTTGTACATATTATGCATATTTTAATTGTGTAAAAATATATATTCATATTGAAGGCAGACATTTCAATGAAGTATATCAAAGGGATGATGATGATGATGATGATGATGATTATATTACTATTAACAACAAAAAATACTCAGAGGATGTGCTTAATTGTAGTTAAAATATAATTGCTGGATTTCTGAGCATTTCAAATTGAAATTAATTGAATCTGAATCAGTTTGATATGCTTAAGAAAGAGAGGGAAGAAAAAAAAGACAAATGCTTAAGAGCATAATTAGGACACATTAAAAAGTTAGGATATATGGAAAGAAATAATTAAGTGCTTCGTTTTCAATTCAGTTCCTGCCACCATCTACAGAAACCAGTGGAACTAAACATGGTTATGAATAAAAGAGGCATGTAGTAAGAAAAAAAATCAAAATAATTTCTTAATCTTACTCAGGTCTCAACCTATTGACTCAAATAGTGAACATTGAATATGCTTTGAGAGTAATTCTGCCAAATATACCATCCAAGTGCAATTTTTTTGCAGGAGTTTATGCAGTTTGTATTTATTAGATAGGCAGCTATTTGAGTTGATTAGCTACAAACATTTCATGAAAAAGAAATAATTGCTCATTCACTATAAATACATGTAGTTTTCTTCACCACTTGCTGACTCAGCTTCATTTGTGGTCTGAGGGATGAAGTCATATGGGTTTTTCATATTCTTGTTTTAATTTACAATACTGGGAGCAGTAAGAGCAACAATCTGTTGTAGCTTGCCCTTACTCTGTTGCCCTGCTCCTGAGAACAGAGGCTAGAGAATCCCTCTGCTGTCTAGTCACCAGCAGACTCCTTTGGAGAGTTAGGAAAGGAGGAGACAGCAGGGATACCTGATACACTAAATACACACAGCTGGCAAATCACTTAGTGACTGGTGCCAAATCACAAGAGTAAACCTGCACCCAAAACAGGACTTAGCAGAGACTGGGGAGTGGGCTGGCTTCTTGACTCTCTCCCCACAAGCAACCCATGAAAACTGAGCTCATGAAAGCCTTTTCCTGATTTTTTAATCCAGCAGAACTGAATGTGAACTTGTGGAGAGCTCTTTGAATGCCAGGTATCTCCAAGAAGCAAAAATTATAACTGATATAACTTTTTATGGGTGCAGTTAAAAGATCATGGTCCTGAATTTCATACTAACACTGGGACTATAACTGTTTTACCGGTTTCTTTTTCAGCTTACTAATACTCCCAGGTAGTGTTCTGATCTGAAATATAGTTAGAACATGGTCATAGCCTAGAAGTAATGAGAAGGAAATAGAAAATATCTTGGCCCTCAGCATGTAGCTAATGAGTCCATCCTTCCAAAAATGTTTCTTTTTACAGGGGGAAATTTGGTTTTATTATTGCCCCTGTTGCTTCTTCAGGATACATTGGAAAGGCTCCTATTTCAACTCTATCTGGCCTCCATGGTCTTAAAAGTAATATTTACAGATATTTTTTCTCCTCTGAATATCATCTGAGTGTGAAAAGCTTGTTTTCTTGAGATCATATCTGATTTTTGACACAAAAGCTTAGAATAACACTACTTCATATGAAAGGTTATTGAAAACAAGTGGCAGAGACCTGGAGAGACAAGAACTATGAACCTGGAGAAAATACTAGTTACGTAGATTTAGAGAGATGGGCACTGTCATAGTACCAACCAGAGTGAAAGAATTAATGCAATTCACATTTGAAGAAAGAACATACTCAGAAATTCAATTACACATGTAATAGATTGCATCAGACATATAGGAGAAAACCAAACTTATCAAAATCTAAAGCCATTTAATGCCATGTGAAAAATGTGATTTAGTATGAAGTTTGTCCTTATTGTGTCCCAAAAACCCACAGCTACTTAGAAATCTATCTTCATTTCAGTATTTTCAGAGAATTCCTTTCAGATAAATATTTAATAGAACAGACTTTACTGTAATTAACAGATTAAAATGTGCAGAATTTGTTGAAGAAGATTTCACAGAATAGGATCAAATAATAATAAATGTCGATGCATATCATCCAAGTACGTATTTAATTCGGGATCTGTTGGAGGAAAGGAATACATAGGGAGCAAAACAAGGTACCCTTCATATTTAACAATACATTCACTGTCAGAAGAATTCTTGGAAGATAATAGAAGCAACCCTTAACATAAGTAGGGTAGGAGCTCTGAGAATCTGTATATATACATTTCATAGTAAAGTTTTGGAAGATGGCGAATAACTTGTAGAAAACATACAGAAACAACCTAAATAGGGAAAAAAAATCAAAGATACAAGCAGCTGAGTGACAGCAAAAAAAAAAATTCAGATTACAAAAATTAAAAAGAGGAGGAGATTACAAGAGATAATGAGATTTAATCTTTGACCTGAAGAAACATGGTTGCATTTTTAACAGACCATTTTTTTAAGTTACTTCAATCAGCTCTTCTAATGTAAGGACATCTTAGCAGAAAGTTTATCTGCAAGTTACTGCTTTCACTTTCACTGCCTAGTGTAAACTGCTGCATCCCTCCTCTCCAGTGACACATAGCAACAACTGGTGAACGTTAAAGCACAGGCAGTCAAATACCATAACTGGGATTGTTAAAATGGAAAAACTTAGCTTATATGCAGTTGATATGGTATCCAGCTACTGCACAAGCAAGTCATTAGCACTGTGTTTTAACAAAATGAGATTGTAATTAGGTGCCTTTGATTCTAAAGCAGAATGAGTTGCACATTTCTGGCTGCTTTTCCCAAAGCATGACATCAGAGTAATCAGCCATAGACTGTCATTCTTTGCTCACTCCACATTTTTGCTCCATTAGTAACTCACAACTACTCCCTGAGCAAGATGAGATTCTCAGTCATCAGTGAGCAATAAATATCTCTGCCAGGCTTGATAAGATTTCTCAGACACATATAGTACTTTTTGGTTTATTCCTGTTTTTCAATTTCACAAGCTGTCTCTCTGTCAAAGTCAGGTCTGGATCACTGTTGAATTGTGGTTGCTTGGCCTCAGCAGGAATTAAGAGTGTTCCTTTGTAGTAACTGTCTTGAATGGAATAGCACCATCAGAATAGCTTGCTTTCTGTCCACAATGTGGGCAGACTATCCAGAGAATTGCAGCAGCCCCAGTTCCCTCCTGTTGCAGTGACCCCATGGGTCACTAGCTGCAGACAAATAGGGGAACCCTCTTTCCTACATTCGGCTGTGGCCACTGCAGCCTGGCTGAAGGACTGGGAAATCCTACAGTCCTCAACTTTAGTTTAGTTACCTGTAGTCCTTCTCTTGGGATCTGAGCATAGTCTTGTTGGCCCATAGACTTCACCAAGAACTCTGTGCTTTAAATAATTATAGCATTGGGTGCAGAATCTGGAATTAGACATCTCAAAATGGAGATTTATGACTACATTGACCAGCTATTCCCCAAAATATGTGGTATTACTAGAGGACGTCACAAATGATGTGTGAAATGAGACACCTTTGCAGATTGGCAGTGCACAAAGAGGATGAAGAAAATGACATGTAATTATTACTGTGCTATTAGCTGTGATATTCAACTTACGCAAAGACAGAAAAGTCCAATAAAGCCAAAAGCTTTAGATTTGTTTTAAAAAGAATAAACTGCTTGGAAATGTCTTTCTCAAAAATTTCACCAGAACACTCTTCCGGAAGAGAGAAGGGTCCAAAGGAAGAAAGGGAGGCATTTTAAATTATTGGACTCATTTTAAAGTTTATTCCCTCCTTTTTCTTTATTTGAAAAAATGCAAATACCTTTCAGACCCATTAACATTAAATACTGGGGGGTGAGAAGGAGAAAGTCTATGACAATATTAAAGTTTTGGGAGGATTCTGGATGTACCTCTGTCAACAGATGCAGTGTTTTTGCATTTACAGACAGAAATGAAAAAAAGGTATGTCTGCCAAAAGGTGGATTAAGGATTAGTTAAGAATATTTATTTAATTTTGTGAATTTGGGTTTTGTGGCAAATTATAAAGAATAATGTGAAAGACAAAATGTTGGCAAAACATCTTAAATACAACTGAGGAAAGTGCATGCACTAGTGTCTGACATCAATCCTGTAAGCTTCTCTGAGGTGGTTCCAATAAATTCAGAAAGCCCTTACACATTTTGAGATAGATATGTCAGGAAAATCAGAATCCTTCCAGTTCTGAAAGATGAACAGTATTATTTATCTATAAAATGTTTTGTAATGAAGTTACATGTGCAGAGAAAATTGAAGAATATTAATCCTGAGTGTTTTGTCTGCTATGTGGCAAACAGATTTTTTTCACCTGTCCACTGGATGCTTTTCTTCTTTTAGTTTTATCGATAAATGCATAACAAAAGTTTGTAAATGCTGCAAGATAATTTTATTAAGAAAATAAAAAGTTCGCTACATATCATCAATGTACACAATTTCAATCAAGAGCTGGCTAGCAGATCATCAAAGGATACATTAAATTGATATTGAATTGTTTCTAATTGTATCCAGCAGGCACCTTTACTAGGCCCGGTGCTATTCAGTATTCCCAGCAGAGACCCAGAGGTACAAATTACCGTGCTGAGGATCCGAGGATGATGGAAAGATTACTCGGTGAGTACGTAATTATGAAACCAAGGAAGAGGAGATCTCTTTATCAGCTAGATCCAGTGCAAGAAATTAGCACCTTAGGAGACATGAATACATAGTTAAATATAATACAAATGGATTTCACCCCCCCCAAAAATGGAGTACAGTGACATGGAGTGCCTCAACTCTACAAGGATTTAGGGGCCATAGCGGACCAGCAACCCAACACGAGCTCCCACCATGAAGCTGCATAAGCAGAGAATGTAATCCTTGAATCCTGATGCAATTGTTGGAATAATTCCCAGAGATCTGTTGTCCATATTTTAATGAGAATGGTGGGGAAAAAATGGCGACTTCACAAAATAGCATTTAAAATTAATTTGAGAGCAGAAGAAAATTATTGCTGTGAAAGCATAAACTCTTTGATAAAGACATAACTTAATGTCTTTGAGAAAGGAGGGCTGAGTATGACTTGATTAAAATTTATAGATCATAGGAGAAAAGCCTCACACACAGATTCTTTATCCTGAAGGGGATCATAACAACCACCCAACCACTTCCACCATCACCCCAAATAAACAAATAAATACATAAATAAATAAACAACACTGAAAAATCAGAAACAAAATCATTTTTTGCTTATGAAAATAAGTATGAACTATATTGCCCAAAAATGAGAAATCATGCCTACTGGCATATCTTCAAATCATGATACAATTTAAAATTTCACCATAAATTACCTATTCCTTAGTTAAATGATAATTTAATTGGACTTGATACCAAATTATTAAATTGATAACATTTAAAGGTCTTCAACATACCCACAAACTAGCTGAGTTTGGATTTCAGAAATCCAAAACACAATAGAAGAAAAAATAAAATACAAATAAATTAAAATTATCTATTCAAAATTACACTGTCTGAAGATCTGTGGTCTGACTTGAGACTTTTTTTATAATCCTAAGTGAGGACTCTAAACCATATGCTCCACTGTGGTATGTATTGCACAACTATGGAAAATGTCTTAATGTAGGTATTTTTCATTCACATAAAATTGTCTGTAAGAATTTATATCCCAGCTGGTATGATGTTATACAGAAACAATATCATGTGTTGTTCTGCAAGTTGTGCATATGTTTAGTTTCTGAGGCCAAAAATCAGGATGTGGTTTGAAGAAAAGTGGGAGGAGTCAACTAGTAAAAGTGTTATACCATATGACAACCTCAAAAAAAAGAGTATATCAGTTGGGAAAATATATAGCAGAAGCAGAGGCTGCCTTTACTGCAATAACCAGTGATCTGCTGTGCACATGTGCACATTCTCATACCACTCATATAGTTTAAAAGTATAGCATTGCAACCTGATTTTGCAGTTGGAACATCTGTAACAATACAGAAAAAAATCACTTTTTTGTGATGCAATCTGCTACTTTTTGCCAGCATTATTTACTCTGAATTTCAGTATATTAGATATATACCAAATTATTAATACTTTTTTATTAGATATTAGATATCTATTACTGTTATTAGTTTTATTATCATTATTATTACTTATCATATGGCTTTCATATCTAAGACAGGAGACAGTGTGGTTATGTCCCACTGTAGAGAAGTACACTTGTAGGCTTGCTGCTGATCTAGTGAGGCTTCTGAGTAATTTCCTGCTAAAAGGTAATGGTCTGCAAGTCAACTCAGTGGTTTTTAAGGGTACAAGGATGATAGCAGTCATGATTTGGAAAGTGCCCAACCTGTAAAATATTTAACATGCCTCATCCTCAGGTGAGTCACACATCTTCTTAAGTCCAAAAATGTTTTACTGACAGACCTAATAGAACCAATTGGAAACATTTTTTTTTTTGATCCTTACATTAACATACTAGGTCTCCTTGTGTATTTAACTTGGGTTAGAGATTCACAGTGCAGTGAAAGTAAACAGCTTCCATCTCAGAGCACACATAACACATTAATTAAAAACAAATCTTCAAAAGCAGTTTATGTACATCTACTCTTGATACATAAGCCTGTTGAAATTGTAGGGAAAACAGCCTTTTTGAGGAAATCACAGGATTTGTAGCTCCCTGACTGTTTTCTGTATTCATTTTTTAAAGTGTGTTGAAATTTTCAGGTTCCATATGGACACATTTAGTCACCTAAATTTGTCTATTAGGTTCAATAAGGGTTTTAGTAATTATTTTTTTAATTATATGTTTTCTGACTGTATGATTGATGAAAATAAATAATCACCAGATGGAATGAAGTTCTGCTGCTTGAACTTATGCAAGTAATGCAGTTAAAGTAACTTGAAATAACAACATGCACAAATTAGTCATTTTCAAAATTAAAACATAAGCCCTAAAGATGTTTCTATTTATTTAAATCACTCTGGATTTAATTAAAGACAGATAACAAATTGTTATCAAAGGTTAATCTATTTTTGAGCCTTTAATTCACCAACAAGTATAACACATCCATTTTTATCATACAGTAATTATGGTAGAGTAGATACATTATCAGGCTCTATTATAGTAGAGCCTGATACATTTGGTGGCATCTTGTGAGTGTGTCAGTGATAAGTGACAAGCATTTCATACACCTGTGCTTCACCTGTGAGCTGGCACTTACCACTGGCAAAATTTCAGGTGACAGACACTATTGTCCCTTCACTGATAACCTAAAGAGAAAAATGTTGCATTCTTTCTTTTGATACTATGATAAAAAAATCGTAATTCTGTATCTGCTTTGTTAATTGCCTTTCCTACCCTTAAATGGTGAAAGTTTCAGACAGGAGTCAAATTATGGGGCTTCTTATGTCTCTAGCCTTATAAACTTGGGCCCTTGCTCCAGGCCAGAACGCATTTCAAGACTGTTTGCAAGAGCACGGAGCTACACTTGGGGTCAAGGTATAGGATATGCCAGAGGACAAATCTGCACAGTCCCATTGCATCACTCTGTGGTGACAACCAGCCACACTAGAGCAGAGCTAAAGGCTGGCAACATGGGGCAGGGGTCAGGAGACACCACCCTAGGCATACTCCTTGCCTGTTGTCAGAATAAACATGATTACTACTGCCAGAATAAACTGTGGAGAGTCCATTTGCTTGTTGTATTTTATATTTACATAGGTTTTCTACAGATTCCACTAATTTCCTGTTAATTTACTTTTCTGTATCATAAAATATGTACAGCCATACAACAACAGTTCTGTTTCTGTCCACAAAATTCTCTACAGGAGATTCACCACACAAGTATTTTTTTTCTTTTTAATCTTGTTCTGTCAAGAAATAGTAATGAAATCAGTCTGCTTATCTAATGGGAAAGCCATGGCATTTAAGACGTTAGCCAGACAAAATGTTGCTGAAAGTTTAGTAGCTGAAATACTAAGATATGGGCCATACTAATTTCAAGGTTTTGTGAGGATGACAGAATTCAGATGAAGAAGAAGCCTCTTTTATTCCCAGCAACTCCCATTTCTATCAATCTCCAGAGACTTGCATATTCCAGAGAGGATACCAAAAATCAGTCCATTAAACAGTTTCAAAAATAAAATAACAAAAAAAAGTGAAACAAAAAACCGCCCCATGTAAACATTGCCTACACTGCCCTAGAGACCCATCTCCTCCAAGATGTGTAGCCTAAACTTTTATTTTAAAAATGTGAGGTCCAACAGAAAATTTTAAATATCCTATGCAACACTTCTCTCTTTCATTGTGAAACTTCTAGAGACTGCACAACACTGCAAAAAGGGTATTATCATCTTCAATTTGCAGACAGGGCAACTAAGATTAAATGCCCAACACAATTCTGAAGTAACAGCAAAGAACAGGCCCTAGATTGTTTTTTCAAGCTACCCTAACATACTGTCAAACAAATCTTTTTTTCCCCTGCCTGAAGGTTTTCGTCACTATGAAATGCTTTTTTTTGGGGTTTTGGTTGTTTTTCTTTTTTGCTTCCTACTATTTTTTAACTTTCCAGGGTGCATTTATTAATTTCTGTTGAATAACCTTGATGTCTTAGTGCTTCCTTTGTGAATGAAAAAAAAAAGTCATTACTTGTGCTTCCTCTTAACATCTACATTCCCACACTTAGTACAGAAACTCTTGCTGATATATATGGAAATTGTACTAATTATCACTATATTTGAATCAGAGAAATCTGTCTTAAACAGGAAAGGGAAAAAAAAAGGCAGGGCAACATTAAAACACATAGTTAAACATTTACCTAAATTTGTAACCAAAAATATATATAAATACTGAGGTGGAAGGCTGATAAAACAATAAAATTCATTGCATTAATCAATAATTTTCCTTTAAAAATAGTCTAAAGTCCTAATCAATTAAAATATATTCTCCTTCAGTGAATGGTCAAAGCTTTGTCCTGCAAGCTATGTCAATTTAAGTAGTCATTAATGCAAGCAATGATGGAAACATCCCATTTTGCATGTTCCTCTGGTAGGACAAAAATCATATAATACAATGAAATAGAATTAAAGCGAATTTAAAACAATAAGATTTTTCTGCCCCAGACTATGTCCTGTTTCTTTTAAAGCTTTTGGAAGTCTTAATGGTTCATAGCAGTGGGCAACAAAGAGTGACCTCTGAACAGTCAGTTCTGGGATTTAGACATGTAAATAATTTTTTCTCTTCGAACTTGAAAATGAAGGCTTCAGTTTGCTCTGCTACCACTCGTGGGGCTTTGTCTGATGACACAGATGTAGAAGCTTTGAGAAAAATGGAAATGTTAGTTGCCAGAAGCAAAACCGTGAGCAAATCCTGGTAAGCGCAGTCTCTCATCCTGTTGCAGGTCACCATCTCCTTTCTGTCCCTTACCCAGTGGTGGGGGCTGTTCCAGTGCTGCTGTTGTGTGCTGTCCTGGATCTCGAGCTGGCATTGTGACTTGCAAGGTTTGTTCACATGATTACAGGCAAGAGAGGCTTTAAAGTACACAGCCTGTTAAATTCCAGTAAATGCGCTACTGCATATTTTAGAAGGAGCTCCTTACCACATGGTTCACAATTAGTGTGTCCATTTCAGCACTAAAAAGATACCTAGGAAAAGAAAATGTGTGTGTAAGTACAAAAAAGTATCAGAATAGAGCACTTAGACTAAATAATTAATACCATTTCATGTTTTGCAACCATATATTTTAGTCATCAAAGATGACTAAGGCTACAAATTCATGTTTATTGACAAGGATACATTTCATAAGTCACCATTTAAAATGGATTTCTATGGCTGGTCTTAATAACCAAGAGGCAAAACTATGTTGTGCTACACAAACATACTGCAGATACAAGTTAAATGGCCAAAATTATTCTCTATGTGACTAGGCAAAAAGACAGTAGAACAGTTATGGAGTCAAAACAAGAAAGAATTGTTCTATTCTCCCTATATCTATCTTTTTAAATATGAGTGAAATCACCAGTTAGTCTAAAAAAAACAAAGTTAACAAATTTACCAGGCTTGCAACACACTACAAGTTTGCATTATGAGTTTACATAACTAATTATCATCATAGGTCTGCTTCATAATGCTAATTTTGGCAAAAGTACTACCAGGAAATATGTTTTATACCAAAACATAACATTTTCTCACCTCATTTTTACCAGTCAGTACATTCACTTCTGTTTTACATGCTTCTACTTTCCTCCACATTTCTTCATGTTCTTACATAATTATCAGACTACTAAAAAATATTTTAATCCAAATAATCCAGTTTCCTTTTAAGAACTTTTCCAGTAGTGTCCTTAATAGTTTAAGCAGAAATATAGTCAAAAACATTTTGCTCTCCTGAGGCATATAATAGTTACACATAAAAAATAGCTTGCTATAGCTTCCTATTCTACCACAGTTGCAACATGAGGTTTATGTAACATTTAAAAAAGTTGTTTCATGATTCTGCAGAATCTTGTGTTCCTGCATTGGGATGGGTTTATACTTTGTATAAGTACAGCCTGGCTATGCTTTCTAACCAGAACAGTGTCAGCTACTTTCAGTCTTTTCTAGCTTAATGTCACAGCCCAGATGGAAGCTTCAGAGCTGCCAGTAAAGCTGGCTTGTGGGGCCACTCCTTACTCAACTCAGCCAGGGTGTACCCTACAAATTTAAATATGTGATTCATCAAAGAGGGTAGGGATTGCTCTGGGATTGTAAATTCTGGTACCAAATAAAGGATCAGAAGCTTAGAGCAAAATGAAAATTGTAGATATAGATAACAAAGATAGAGTTAGAAGAAAACATATTATCAAAAACCAAGTTAAACCCAGTTATATTTTACTATCACAGAACTTTTTCACCAATAGATGATTTTATATTTGAAAAGTGACTAATATTACTAAAGTAATTCCCAGCTACTAGTAGGAGCTTTACACAGTGACTTAATACAGTATAAAGTGACTTAAGATCCAAATATGCCTCAGGATGATTTCAACAGTGACTATTTGAAAAGAATACCCCAAAGAAATCCACTAAAAAGTCCATTCTTTAAACATTCCCCAAAGAATTTCTGTCAGCAAAACACAGAAAATGTTAAGCAATAATAACTAAACTTCTGTAAAACAAAAAAGAAACTCTTATTCTACAGTTTTCTTACCTGAGCTGGATATACTGCAATTCATAATTGAAAGATTGATTCAGAACTGAATATGTAAAACTCTTAAAACCAGTGTTAAAATACCTTACAGGCCTCAGCTTTCTCCTTCTTTTGTTTTCATCACTCCATATGTTTCAGTTTATTCCCTAATGTACTGACCAGGAAGAAATAAGTCTACAGTGAATATCTTTTTTTTTTTCCTTTGGTGGGGAGTTTTTGTTATTGGTTGAGGTTTTTGGTTTGGTTTGGATTTTTTTGTTTGTTTTCCTTTAAGTTGTGCTGCATATTGCTGCCTATTTGGATCAGGCATGCTTTTATTTAGTACTCTCTATACCTTATTCACATCTGTCAACAAAAAAAGCACATCGCAGTCACACACCAAGGCACAAGTCACAAAACTCACAGAAAAAGTAAAAGAAATGATATTTATATGTCATTTTGATAGTCAAGGGAGAAGAAGTGTCCCAGTCCCTCTTTCTAAAAATAATGCTTCATACAGGTGTCATCTCTGTATTTTACTGGAGTTATCAAAAGAAAAAAAGTTGTCATTTATGGAAGTTGCTTCATGCTATTGAAATAAAATGATGTGCTTTAAATCACAGTTCAGTTCTTCCATACCTTTCTTCCAAGAAAATCACGCTTACGTGTAGGGAAATGGGAAAAAACAGTTTTATTAACCCACCGTCAACCTCTATCTTCTACACAAATAACACACAGAAACTCTCTTCTGGTCATCTACTCCTACCAAAAATTGATTTAAATTCTTTGCTATGTCTTAAAAAAAACCAATGAAAAACAAAACAAAAAATAGTAAAAAAGAACAAAACCAGTTACTCCTGCCATCCATAGCAATGATGTGCTAATAAAAAAACCTCACCATATTCTCTTGTCAGGGATACCTAATAGAGATGAAGAAGTCTCTAATTAGGGCATTAATTCCACACTGCAGTGCAGTTGCAATGCAAACTCCCATTTACTGACAGGTGCAATATGTGGGTGCAAATTTCTTGGCATTAGCAATCTACTCTTTTGCATTTACATTGCTAAGCATCATCATTGCATTGATTGACTTATGTACAGTACTACACTTTCACCTCTTAGGTACAGAAAGAAAAGATTGATTCCAATTTCGGTGCCACAGTTTTAAACAGATGCAGCACAAATGAGTTAGATGCACTTACTCCTAATTTACAGTCATGGAAGAAAAATAATTTTCTTGATTACACTACTATTTAGAAAGCTCTAACTCTTTTGGATAGAATAAAGTTACACTGGTCTGAAACTCGCATGACAGTCAGGGGCACAGTTACATGTATTTTTCCACAAGAAGATGGCAGCTGTCCTCAAAGTGTAATGTGAGTTAACTAGGAAAAGGTGATTGACTGATGCTGAGGTTAATTGCTTGTTGGCATGCTAGAAAGCCTATGCTAACAAGTGCTGCTTATAACTAACAAGTGCCAATTATTTCCTTATATTCCAGTACACATTATATTATGCTAGGCACTATACAAACATCCAGAAAGATCCAGACATCCCTACCCAGATCTGATAAGTTAATGATTTAAGAAAACCATGCAAGTTACTGATAAAAATGGGTCAGGGCATGTGGCTTATCACAAATGTACAGCTCTTCATACAATCCTACGAGAAAGAAAAACTTTGTTGAAGCTATCAATGCACAGAACATGTATTCGCAAAGAAAGTATAAACAGTTGACTGGTCATAAACTTTATATTCCCTGTTGCTGATCAAAAGCTTACACTAACAGATAGTGCTTACTATGTCATTATTAGAAACCTCTGAAATCTTTAAAATATTTTAATCCTGTTTCCACATTTTTGTGGAAAAAGAGGTTATATATATAGTTGGTGACCAACTGCACTTAGAAGCTTGACAAAACTTCCCATTTAATAGGTAGATTGCTATGTAAAATATTGCCTGATATTTGTATAATGCATTCACCTGGCTTGAAAAAATGCTGACAGAACTTGGATGCATATCATCATCTGTTGTTAAATTTCTATTAAATTTATAATTTTGCTGCTAAAGCAGTGGTAAACACCAATTTTAATTGCATTATTAAAATATGAATTATGAAAGTAGGATTGTAGTGACTGATACAGATTTTCCCTATGATAATAATGATTTAAAATAAGATTAAAAAGTAGCATCTCCTCAAGGGAGAGGAAGTTAATGTACCAAAAATTATAGTGCAAAGCCAACTTGCCCCCCACCTCCTCCTAGACAAGTCATCTACCTTGTATCAGTCAGAATAAAACAAAGAAAGTTGGTCTAGTAAAAAACTTACCTGCCTTTCAGGCTTTCTTTGCAAGAAATCTTACAGTGCCTGGTAAAACTGCATGCTTTGTCTGTTACTCCTTGCCTGATTTCAAACTAAACATTTGTAATGGCATCACAATGTAGTCACAAACTTGAAAGCCTTTGGAAATGCATTAATTGTAAAAGTTGGGGTTTTTAACACCTTTTTCTAACTGTTAAGACAAGGAAAGTGTCAAATATGTTGGTAAGCTGTTGAAAAAGGTAAAAAGTGCCTAAGCTGTGGTTTGATCTCTCCTACTCCTGCAGTGCAGGGAACATTTCAGCACAATACTATCTCAAGAATTCAAAATAATGTAACAAAACTCTAACCATATGGCTTGCTAGGTAGGCACGGGAGCTCAGCACAGGGTTGGGTGAGGTCACCATAGAAATGAAAATATTTAAGAAAATCTAAGAATATTAAAATTGTATTTGCAAATATTGCATTGGTATTCCTAGACTGTTACAGAATAGATAGGTACATTTCTGTACCCATCAAACACTTAATAAAAGATAACTCCTCTAGGCAATTTGCAAACTATAGTTTCATCTAGATATATGTCATTGTAATTCAGGAACCTCCAGTTCTCAGTTTTTCTAAACAAGTATGCCATAATCTTTTCTAGCCCTGTTTCCGTCAGACCCTCATAAATCTACCACATTGCTCTGTCTCCTCAGAATGCAGTCAAATTCACAAATATTTTAAAGGTATGGTGAAATACACATATAGTAAGTCCATCATCCTAGAAGGAGTTAGCAATTTCCTTTACCTGTGGTATATATTTCATTTTAACACATCTTTAATAGACACCAACTAATCATGTTTAAAGGCTACCCCTTTACTATTGCCCTTTATCCATAAACTGCTCTTTTCACTGACCTTAATATATAGGGTGAAGATAGGCAATCGTTTGATATAAATGCTTACATATATGATTTTGATATCAGTATACATAAGGTAGAACTAGTTGGGCTGGACATAATTTTCTTAATTTACAAGTGCATATATTTTTCATTCCAAGTCACCTAATACTGTCAGAAATACTGATGACCCTAAAATTCAATGCTTTTCCATTTTTTCCTACAGCCTGTATTTTGTAAAAGAATAAAAAACATAATGACATTTGTAATTTCAGA